CAAGATGTTCTGATCCACAGTGTCAAAAGCTTTAGACAGGTCTAAGAAAAGTGCAGCACAATAATCCTTAGCATCCAATGCTTCAACAACATCATTAAGAACCTTCAGTGAAGCAGTGGTTGTGCTGTGTTGTTTCCTGAAACCAGATTGATGTGGAGGTAAGATGTTAAATGAGTCCAGGTCATTTTTGATTTGAGAGTTTATCAGTTTTTCTAGAACCTTGGCTAAAATGTAGAGTTTAGAGATTGGTCCATAGTTGTTCAGTGAGGTGGGGTCATTTAAAACTTAGCATTCCTTGAATACTAATTGTGTTGCTCTTTGCCTTTTGACAATCGCACAAGCTTCTGCAGAATCTCACACAATCTGTTGAAACATTTAATAAAATATGCAAATCACTGTCGGGTACAATCGTACCAAGTTTTAGTACATCATCTGTAAAATTGACAGTTACAGCCTTAGACCTGCTGGCTGTGGCAGCCATCTTGAATTAAGTTAGCTCCAAAATTGAATTTGTTGTAGCGATAAATCCAATAATTTAAGAAAATATCAAATGAACCACTGAATAGATCTTAACGGAGTTGACTCCAAATAGTAACTGGCAGTAACTACAGTGATCCACGCCTTCATAACATCTAGGCTTGATTACTGCAATTCACTTCTGTTTGGAATCAGTCAGTCCTCCATTGCTCGTCTACAACTGGTCCAAAATGCTGCAGCCCGATTTTTAACTGGTACAGGCTATAGAGAGCACATCACGCCAGTTTTGGCCTCCCTGCACTGGCTACCCATTCACCTTCGGATCCAATTCAAAATTCTCATGTATGTTTTCAAATCACTGAACAGTTCCGCCCCATCTTATCTCACTGATCTTCTGCAGCCATATGTCCCACCGCGCTCTCTGAGGTCAGCAGACCAGATGCTTCTCTCAGTCCCAGAAACCCGTCGTAAGCTCAGAGGTGACAGGGCTTTCTCTGTTGCAGGTCCACGACTGTGGAATGAGTTGCCACCGAGTGTCCGGCAGGCTCCCACACTCTCAGTCTTTAAGTCTCGCTTGAAGACCCACTTCTATTCTCTTGCCTTTAACACGTTGTGATTTGTTTTGGTCCGATCTGTTCTCTACTCTGTTGGCCATTTTAGTTAGCTTCTGCTGCTATTTGTATCTGTATTTTTATTTTATGTTTTCCTGTCCGCTGTGCATGTTTGTTTCTTTTGTACAGCACTTTGGTTGGCCTTGTTGCTGTTTTAAGTGCTCTATAAATAAATTGGTATGGTATGGCATCTATTTATGCTCATATGTTGCAGGTCAGTCTCAGCTACCACCAAATTTTAGATCAATATCTGTAAAACTAAATGAGTTAGAACTATTTTTTGTGTTTTCTAATGTTGATTAGCTTTGGTGGCCATCTTGAATTGGGTTGTCTCCAAAGCCTGACGAGTTGTAGATGTACACTCATTGATTACTTCCTGAAAGGGTCATTAAAATCTGCCCCGAGGTTCATGAGATATTTTTTTGCTAACAGATAAAAACATAAACACAGATAATTGCATACACAAAGAAATGCAAAAATAACACTGACTTGTCTTCACGGTTTGACTCGTTCACGTTGATCAATTATGTGATTATTACTTTTGTGGTGCAGTTTTTGCGGAGCTGAACAGGCATCAATCGGTTCAGAGTAAAGTTTTTGTCCCGTCATGGAGCGAAGAGGGGAAATTGGAAATACTGTCTTTCCATCTGTCCCTCCATCCGTCAATCGACAACTGCCAGCGCTAACAAAGCACTAAGTTGGCGCACAACACAGACATGTCTAACCAAACACCCCCCAGAAGAGATGAGCGCCCGCCACCGGCCACCACTTGTTTGGGGAACGAGGCTTTTTATATTTTATTTAGCTTAAAAGAAAGGTTTCCTCACATGATTAGGGTGGTCCAAGATTAGTCTACGATGGCCAAGGCCACCATTGGCCACCCCCTGGCTCCGCCATTGCTCCTGGCCTTAGATAAAACAGCTCCTCCGCTCGCAAGGATCCGTCATTCTGACAGCGTAACTCCTACCCACCTGAATATGTTTCAGGAAAAACATCAAGGCTTACTTGAATTCCCCGTTCAGTTCCAGTGCAACTACAAACATTTACTGTTCAAACCCCTCGGCGACGCGGGGAACATCAGCGCACAACTTCCTGTGACAAACCAAACAGTGTCGTGGGATTATTTCACTGTTTGCAGCTGGTACAGTCCATCCACTTCAGCTCCAGCTGTCCGCCTCAGGAACAGTCCCAGTACGTCTGGAGTATGAATGTCAAAAACAAGCTGTTGATGAGGCACTCTGTGGGTGTCTTGTTGTCTACTGGGTGTTTCCTGTGCCAGATAAATTTAGCCTTTAGTCAGCCAAATTACTACCATACAAACCCTACTGTCACAACACACTCCCTGCCCCCCCACCGTGCCACAGTGGCACTGATGCTGCACATCCTCTCGTGACGTCAGAGGTCTCCAGCGTCGGCTCACGTCCTGTCTCGTGTATTTTTAGCCCTCGGAGCGGAGGATACCAATTATTTACTTACAAAGAACGGTTCTGGTGTCTGCTTCTCAGGATACCTGCAGTCTTTTCTCCCTTCAGCGCCAACTTAACAAAATATAAATATAGTTTGGAATATATAGTAATATACCTGCAGCAGCGTCCTCCTGTTGAAAGCCTTTTTCTGTCAGGCGCAGCAGTGGTTGAGCTCAAGTGCCCCCCTGTGGTCACTGGACTTGGATGTTTTTGTCACATTTAAAGACGCCACAAGATTTCTAGATCCGATAGGTTTATTTTGAAATGAGGTTTTTCAGCTGTAGTGTTCTTGCTGTAACTATAAAATCTAATTTTTTACTCTTATTTCGGGAATTCAAGGGGGAAATTATGAAATAATCTGGTACTAATATACACCCTCAGGTACTGAGCAGTAAAGAAAAGTTAAAGGATTATCATTACTTGAAGGGATGCGTATCTCAACACCTTTCTTTCTAGAGGTTGTCGTTTGGTGTTGTGAACGCATCACATGCGCTGAAGCTGTGTTGTTGTTTTTCAGAGTGTGAGGGACCCGTCAGGAGCCTCCATCGCTCTGTACACCGCCAAACTCCATCATCCCAACAAGACGGGCAACCACATCGTTCTCCAGGCCCTTTTCTATCTCCTGGATCGGGCGGTAGAAAGGTGACGAGTTACATCTGTGTTTCAAAAGATGGGTTTAAAGGGATCCCCGATTACCTGCAAAAATAGGCCCCAATATGTTATTTCTCTATTCTACTAAAAGTCGCTGTTGGCGACATGTCAAAACTCCTAATTACTTTTAAAAAATTACATATGTTTATTACATTTTTCTCCCAAGGACAGCTCCATTATTTTACCGGGACGATGCATTCTGTGGCAATGACAAACATCGGTTGTAGAGGGAACTGAAACACAAGGAGTCGAGGCTGTAAAGTTATAATATATGACAATAAAGTTATATTTTGTATTGGTTTTTGTGCACAATAATTATATATATATATATATATATTAATATAATATAATATAATATAATATATATATAAATTTTTTTTTTTTCTAGCTCGAAGCTAATTTTTTATTTATTTTTTTTCCTTCTCCTCGCTGGTTTTTTGTTTTTACCGACTCTTGATTTTTTTTTTTTTCCATTTACCCTTTATTTTTACAGGTTGTCTCATTGAGCCACGAGTACCCATTTTAATGAGACCTCTTTTTTGGGAGCCGATGGTGGGGCCTTGCTCAGGGGCCCAGGGTGGGGCAAATGAGGGTGGAGGGAGGTGCAGGTGTTCCACCTTTTCCACACACATTGTAATGTTGACGGTACCGGGAGTTGAACCTGCAACTTTCTGATCACAGGCCCATCTTCTAACCTCTGCGCCACCACTCCCCCACAACTAGCATTTTTTTGGCTTTTCTTTACTTTTGACACCTACGGGTATATAGCATTTCCTGGATATTGTTAGTTTCATTATGTTGGGCTTTTAGCTAGCATTTTTCTGCTTTCTGTTAACATTTTGATTTTTCTACCTGTAAAACACCTTTTTCCAGCCCTTTTTTTTTTAGGCACTTTGCTAATTCTAGCACTTTTTTCTTCAGGGGTCGCCACAGCGAACAAACACACACGAACACTCGGCGATTGTTTTTACGCCGGATGTCCTTCCTGACTCCACCACTGAACTACCACGGCCCTCTGTGTGGAGCAGAGAGCTGCCATCTAGGGCACTCGGGGGAGCAGATGGTGCGTGATAAAGGCCTTGCTCAAGGGCCCAGAGTGGGGCAAATGATAGTGAAGGCAGGTGTTTCACTTTCCCACCCACATTTTGATGTTGTCGGTTTGGGGAGTTGAACCAGCAACCTTCCGATCACGGGTCCACCGTCTAACCTCTGCGCCACCATTCTCCTTTGCTAATTCCATCATCTTCTTCATGCCGTTTTGCTAATGTTTCACTCATTTTGGCTCTAAACTAGCTTTTTTTGTGTGTGCCTTCTTTTGCTAGTGTTTAGCTACTTTTGACTGTTAGCTAGCGTTTTCTTGCTTTTAGATTTTTCTGCCTCTAAATGAGCTTTTCCTGGCATTTTTTACAAGCATTTTGCTAATCCTGGCACTAAGCTAGCTCTTCCATGCTTTTTTTTTTTGCTCACGTTTTGCTACTTCTGGCTCTGTGCTAGCATTTTCTGCGTACCTTCTCTTGCCGCTTGCTAGCATTTCCACAAATCATTCAGCTATTTTGGGCTAAATTTTCAACAGTTCATGTAAACAAGTAGTGACAGTTCAGCGATTATGGGGGAGTGGTGGCACAGGCCTGTGATCAGAAGGTTGCTGGTTGTACTCTCCGAACCGATAACATCAAAAATGAGGGTGGAAAAAGTGAAGCACCCACACCTGCGTCCACTCATTTTCCCCACTCTGGGCCCTTGAGCAAGGCTCTTAACCACCACCATCTGCTCCCCCAGGCACCTTAGGTGGCAGCTCGGTGTCTGTGGTCGGGTCAGGAAGGACATCCGGCGTAAAACAATTGTCAAGTCTTGATGCGAGTTAGTTCACTGTGGCGACCCCTGAAGAAGGGAGCAGCCGAAAGAAGAACAAAAGTGACAGTTCAGCGATTTGAGAATTTACAGCTTCATTTCAGCTTCTTTCAGCAACAATAATAATTCACTGCAGTTTTGCAGGAAATGCAAATGTTTCTAGTTGTTTATGAAATAAGATCTATTGTTTTAACTAGTCGGGGATCCCTTCAGTGATCTCGTTGTTGTCAGACGCAATCTGGAACATTTTGCTCTTAACGACAAACTGAACCAAGTCCATAATTCCATGTTTTGTTGTGTACCGTATTATTTGTAGGTGTAAATAAAAACATGTCTGTTTGCTCTGCAGCTTTGAAACCCAGAGGAACGGCCTGGTGTTTATTTACGACATGGCAGGCTCCAACTACACAAACTTTGAGCTGGACCTGAGCAAGAAAATCCTCAACTTGCTGAAGGTTTGAATCCCAGTCTTCTAAACGCACACTCTTCTTTACAAACAAAAGACTGAAGAACCGTTCACCTCCTTTATACAAACTACAGGTGTCAACCTTTTTATCAGGTACGGTAAAATTACCATTTGCATTTTTGAAGTGGGGTTCTGTGGAAAGGTAGTGTAAAAGTAGTATCTTACCTGTTGTGGATAGGTCTCTGAACAACCTCCGTTTGGAGGAATAATTGAATTCTGAACGACTTGACAGGCGAGCTCCTAGTTTGCATGGATGCAGGACCAAAGTGGATTACTGAAGTCTTAAAAAAGTTTGTAAGCTCAATCATCCAGGTAGATAAACACAAAAAAGGTTCAGTCATGTCATCTGGACAAGAACTCCAAATGTAAACATTTCAAACTTCAACTTGAAACCTTAAAATTTCACGTTTTTTGCATCATCATCCTTTTCAGAATGCATTTTTCAGGTATTTGAGTGAAAGCAGCAGCAGCTAGCTGTAGCATTTCCAGTGCAGCATGACGCACTTGCAACGGTAACATAATATTTGGATGGATCGACCGTGGACTTTGTTCTTGACTCCTTTAACTTCCTGTTAGCTTGTTGACATCGTCAGAAGTTTACCGTATTTTTTTTCCAAGTTAAGCTTGTTCAGGAAGCCATCTACAACAGGTAAGATACTAATTCTTAACTTTTCTACAGACCCCATTCCAGAGGAACTCTGTCCGTTTAACGTATGACTTGTTCATTTGTGAGGAAGCGTTTTTTAAATTTTTTATTTTAAGGAATGCGTACCACCTGCCACCTAGCATGCCATCATTTTAAATAAAGATGCAGTGTGATCCGTTTCAAGGTCAAGGATCTTTATTGTCATTCACATATGTGGTACATGTGGTGGAACTAAATTGTGTGCACAGGGTCCCAGTTACATCCAACAAATGTATAAATTGCGAAGAAAAACGGTAATAAAATCTAAGATATGAACTAAGAAATACGCTAAACTAAGAATACAGTAAGCAGTCGTAGTACAAAAACAATGCGCCGAACAACAGCAGCACGAACATGAGCCTGTGTGAGCAGATGAGTACCGTACGAATGAATACAGCAGCACGTTATTAATCGAGTAGATTACAGTGATTTTTCTTCAGTGATAATCCTGATTAGGTTCATGAGTAACAGCTTCAGGGTAGACGCTGTTCTGTTTAGGAGGGAATGGTGGCGCAGGGGTTAGAGAAGGTGAGCCTGTGATCGAAAGGTCGCCGGCTCGACTCCCCGGACAGACATCAAAATATGGGTGGAAAAGGTGAAACCTGCCTCCACTCTCATTTGCTGCACTCTGGGCCCTTGAGCAAGGCACTTAACCCCCACCATCTGCTCCTCTGGGCGCCCTCTGCTCCACACAGAGGGCTGCGGTAGCTCGGTGGTCTGTGGTTGCATCAGGAAGGACATCCGGCGTAAAAACAATCACCAAGTCTTCGTGTGAGTTAGTGTCCTGAAGAAGGGAGCAGCCGGAAGAAACCGATGGAAGATTAGCTGTGGCGGCCATCTTGAATTGGATTGATTTGCATGTCGTAATTTCAGAGTGTTTCATCGTAATCCATCCAGTGGATTGTTATATATTTTGCTAACAGACTACGTGATCGCCTGCCTTGTTTCTGGTGGTGTGTGATGGACGCAGTTGAATTCAGACGCCGGTCAAAGTGGTTAAAATGGTGACTCGTAAAGTGAGCTGATATACACAAACACAGAAGTTGTGTAATCCTCTAAAGTCTGTTTTTTATATCTGTTCTTTTAAAATAATTAAACTCCGTCAGTGTATTAGTTGCAGTAACCAGAGCTTTGTGGGAAAACAACGTCCTCTCAGGAAACTCGTTCATGTTTTCTCAGTCATTTTCCCACGAAGTGAAAAGCTTGAAGGTGTGCCGTGTTTGTTCACCAGGGGGCGTTCCCGGCCCGGCTGAAGAAGGTTCTGATCGTCGGGGCTCCCGTCTGGTTCCGTGTGCCCTACAACCTGCTCAGCCTGCTTCTGAAGGAGAAACTCAGAGAGCGGGTACATGTCGCTCCGAATGAAACGGCTCCGAGTTTATCGCAGTTTTCTGAAACCGTTCTCGCTCATTTCCAGGTTCAGATGGTAAAAATGGCCGACCTGCGTCAACACCTCCCCAGGGACTGTCTCCCCCAGCACCTTGGGGGTCTGCTGGCCCTGGACGCATACAGCTGGAACCAGCAGCTCCTGGCGGGTCAGAACGGCAGGGTGGACCCCGTGGATGAGCTGATGGGGATCCCCGTGGAAGACTCGTCCATCCACGTTCCGGGGCCCGAGTCCATGCGCCCCCAGGAGCTGCTGACTCACCTCGGCCACCTTCAGCGCTCGGGCGTCCACCAGGAGTACGAGGAGCTCCGCAAAGAACCTCCACCTGGAACCTTCCTCTGTGCGCAGTGAGTCTCGACACACACCTGGTGCCGCCTCTGATCCGTATCCACCCCGAGTGAGAAAACCCAGAAAACATAAAGACATCAAAGTTTAGATAAAGGAACTATCTTGTATGGTTTTTTTCTACAATCGAGGTTCAAATCATTTCTATCGATTTCACCACATACGTCCAGTTGAATGTTCAGGGACGGCAGGAGGTTCTAGTAAAATAAGCTTCGGTGTTTTTCTGCTTCCAGAGCGTCCTATAATCAGGAGAAGAACCGCTACGGAGACGTGCTGTGCCTCGATCAGACGAGAGTTCGGTTGAAACCCAGAAGAAACGAGGTACGGTCTTATTGAAACGTTCAGAGACATGTAGAGAATAAAAACCCTGCCGAGGTTTCCTTTAGTGGGCGAGAAGTGTGCCACGGTGGCAGCTCTGTGTTCGGGTCGGACCAGAGTGTACGTCTGTTGTGGTTATTGCCCTTTGTCACAGAGTGACTCCGTCCGCACGTGCACGCTGTGAGTGTGTGATAATTAGAAAAATAAATGAGGTACTGACTTCCGTTTTGGTGTGCCACTACATCTAGACATAAGAAAGGTTTTGTTTGAAAATTGGGTTGCCACGTCAAAATCCAAGATGGCTGCCGCAATATATATACAGTGCCTTGTGAAAGTATTCGCCCCCTTGAACTTTTCAACCTTTCGCCACATTTCAGGCTTCAAACATAAAGATATAAAATTTTAATTTTTTGTGAAGAATCAACAACAAGTGGGACACAATCGTGAAGTGGAATGAAATTTATTGGATGTGTCAAACTTTATTAACAAATAAAAAACTGAAAAGTGGGGCGTGCAATATTATTGGGTCCCTTTACTTTCAGAGCAGCAAACTCAGTCCAGAAGTTCAATGAGGATCTATGAATGATCCAATGTTGTCCCAAATGACTGATGTTGATCAATAGAATCCACCTGTGTGTAATCAAGTCTCCGTATAAATGCACCTTGGAGCTCGAGCTCAGTGAGGTTGGATGGAGAGC